TTTTTTTTGCCTGTCCTGTGGGAATTTATTTTTGTTTTAATTTCCAGCTTTATTGAGATATTATTGTCATATAACACATGTAAATTTAAGGTGTACAGCATGATGATTCAACAATTGTATATATAGCAAAATGGTTACCACAATAAGGTCAGCTCTGATCTCCACCCTCTCACATAATTACCTTTTTAAAAAAATGGGGATAACTTTCAAAATCTACTCTCTTAACAACTTTCAAATATATAATACAGTATTGTTAGTTATAGTCACCATTCTGTGCATTAGATCCCCAGAGCTTACTCATTCTATAACTGGAGGTTGGAACCTTTTGACAAACATCTCCCCATCTTCCCCACCTCCCAGCCCTTGGCAACCACCATTCTACAGAGATTCATTTCCACAAATAATTTAAGCAACTAAAGGCATAGACTCCTGGAAACTGGATAAAATCATGAGATGGGACAGTAAATGTGGGGTTTGACCTGGAGTTTCTATTCCCATATGACCTTCCAAAACTGACCTTGCATAATTCATATGGAAAAGATACGTTTTTTAATTTTTGTCCCCCCAACTTACTCATCCAATATATTTTCCCCACTGGAAAATCCAGTGCCATCTCAGTGGATAATTAACATTCAAGGTGCTTAGACCATGTCCACATGATGAAAAGTGTTTTGGAAAGGAATTACTAATGAAATCTTTTTTTTTCTTTTACAAAAAGTCACTGAATTATGCTATCCAGACAGTGCACTGTCTGATAATGCATTGATAAATGGAGAAATAGACAATCACATTAAAAATGTCAGAACATCATTTGCAATTCTCAAAGTCGGTATTCAGAATCAACAAACTATTAACTTTCTCTAAATATTGGAGGCAATAACCCACCTGAGTGGCAGCAATGTGCTCAATTGGGGATTGTGAACAAAAGATACTGTCTGGTCTCAAGAGCCTTTGGTCCAGGGAAGTAGCTCTTCAAACTGTTTTGGCTGGAACTGACAGTAAGAAATACACTTCACATTATAACACCAATGAAAATGCATATGTAGAACAAACAAAAGTTGCCAATATAATGTTTACATTACTATCAGCAATGCCCACAGATATTTTCTATTGTATTTTATTTCATTTTAAAAGTAAATCCTAGTTGCAAACCACAAAATTGCCATCTTTAATAGGAGAATGTGACCCACAGTTTGCAAAAAGATGATTTAGGAGTTGTACTCTGTCTGTGTTTTTGATGAATATAGCAAATGGACAATAAAGCTTTCACAAAAATTTGTACTCATAAGCTGGGTGGACTAATGAGTACCCTAAAGACATAGTGTATGGCATATGCTAGGGGCTCAATAAAAATCTGATGAAATAGTTAATAGAACATAGTAGAAAAGAAGAAAGTATTATTGATACACTGTAACACACAAGCCAAGCAATTAGAGAAGGGTAGCCTAGTTTAAGCAAAGATTTTAGACTGATTGTTAAGGAAAATGGCACCCAGTGTGCTTATATGTGCTAAATATTTTCAATCAAATATGGTGAAATAATGAGGAAAGTTGAAGCCTTTCATGATAAACGGATCTGGATTTGAACCCCAGATTCTCCACTTCCCAGCTTCGTAAGTGTGGGCACATTTTCCAAGTCATCCAAGCCCTAGATTTCTGGTCTTTAATGTTGGGGTGATGATGAGAATTTCTATTGATGCATATGATTAACTTTAGAGGGCCTGACAGGTAGTAGGTGTAAATCAATCCATCAATATTATTTTGTCTGTGAGTGTTTTGCAGTTAAGTTTACAGGCAGTATTTGTCTTTGCCCAACATCTGGTCTTAGCATTCCTTCACGCATGCATCTGCCCTTCAAAATGTTTCATAAGGTGCTACCATACCTTCTCGGCCCATGGTGTTAACTGGAAGGCAGTCAGGGTGACTCCACCTTTTTGACTGTTGAGAAAACAAGGGTAGCTTGTGGAAATGATGGTGAAAGTGACTGGGGATGTGGGAAGCGCTAACTGGGTTTTGCTAGCTTTGACAGGAAGCTGTTAAACAAACTCCAGGTCAGCTAAAACCCCAGCTGATCACAAACATTGCTTTTAAAATACGTGTGTTGGGTGCCAAGTGTTCAGGAAAACAGGAGAAAACACTTGAGACTGTATGCATGAGGTGCCAAGTTTGGAAATGCATCGAAGTAACCAACGCCAGATTTGCATGGGCCCAGTGGGAAACACAGAGAAAATCACGGTGGTTGATGCTTCTGCTGCTTAGATTAGGCAGTTGGTCAAAATCTCCAAACTGGACACCCTCCTCCTACAGCTTTATCTCTCTCTCCTTTACTTCCCTTCATTCCCAATTATCTCACTCTCTTTATTCATGAAGTTGGAAAATACATAAAATACACAATATCAACTATAAATAAGTACACTTATACTCAGCTCTATTTTCATACATGTATCTGTGTGGTTTCTTAATGAAAATTGAAGAGTTCAAGATTGTTATTAGGGAATTCTTAATAAGATAGTTCTGCATTTCAATATATACACATTACACTGACATGTGTTAAATGTCAAATCTCACTACACAATATTGAGGGCATCTGTGCACCAAGGATTTTGTTTTTTAAATTAACTCAGTGAGAAAATATAATTTAATATGTAGAAATTTACTATACTGGTATAGAAGTGTTTACTATGTTCTTATGAATACATTTCTGCACATTTGAAATGATTTATAATTAAAAAATGTAAAGAATAAGGCAGTTATGTTATTGGTTTCCAAAGAATATGCCTTTTCCATACATGTAATTTCAAGAAAAAGAAATTAAAAGCACGGAAGTATCAGTTGGAATACCTGGAATAGCCAAAATTTCACAATACAAACAAGAAAAATCTATACAATGAATAATAAAGAATTGGATGGATTTCTCTGCTATAAATTCTTGATAATAATAGTCAAGATCGGCATGTCTCAAATTTTGCTGCACATTAAATTTACTCAGGGTGTTTGTTGATAATACGGTTTTGGGAAACTACCCTCAGCAATTCTGACTCCGGTTTGAGGTGGGGCCCAGATGTTGTTTATGAGCACTTCCAGCTGTTCTTCTGACTGTACCTTCAGAAGCTGGTTCTAAGATGATTCACATGGATTTTATGTTTTTGCTTTCACATGTTTTAGATATACCCAAAGTGGTACACATCTTTTTAACACTCAGTAGGTACCTTAATAAGGTAGAAGTTTGAAGGAACATTCCAATCTGTTTTTCTGACTTAGTTTTCTGTCTTTTCTGTACACCTTGAACAAATACCCCATTTGTCTTTGCCGAGGCTTCTGAGGCACCTTGAGCTCCATGTGTGCCCACGAATGCACACCCATGTGCACACACAGACTGGGATGCCATTTCTTAAAGCAGTGTAGATCTAGCCCAATGCTTTAAGTGCTAGAAGTATTACTGTAATAATATCACTAAACAATAGGAGCAAATTCGTGATTGCAACTGATACATCCTGTGTTACTAAAAAGAGACTAACACCTTGGACACACAGGGAGTCTAGAGTCAGTCATCAGGCAGTGGCGGGACTCTGTGCAGTGAGGAAATATTTCTGACCAACTCCGAGGAGATGTCTGCAAATGGAATGCAAGCTGTCCTGTTATGACTTGGTGCTGCAAGCACACTCCATTCTACGCAGAATTTCCATCTCCCTGTGTGTACTGAAAAGCCACCTGGACATAGGTCCGTCAGCCAGCAGGTCACATAAACTTCTACCTTCTTTCTTCTTCCAGTCCTTGCATTAGATCTCTGATTTGGAGAAGTCGGCCCCATGGGCAGGTGGTGGCTTATGTGCAGGGTGGCGCTCTGCGCCCTATCCAGCTTCCTTCCCAGCCCAGCTGTAGCCAGAGGCATCATGGGAACACCCTTGGCGTCTTTTTCCTTCTTGCTCCAGCGCCCTCTGCAGAGCCCCCATGTCTTTGGATAAAATGCCAAGGAAAGTCGGAAGATAATTTTCCATGAAAATGGTTCAATGAAGACATAAAGGACTGAATTGACATTTATCTTTCATAGACTGTGGCTTTGTCTTTCTTAAAACTATTCGGAAAAAAAAGGAAACTTAGGTAATTCCTGTGAGTTTCCAGAAAAAATGAGTTTATATCTATTAAATGCTTTGTAATCCATAAGACTGTAGATAAGTATAATTAGGCATTATTATTATCATTTTTGTCACTGTTACTACTGTTCTATGAGTAGTGATAATGCCAAGAAAATCAAAAGAAGGCTGTGTGCTAGGTTCAGGCTGGGAAAGTAAGAGAAAGGTCCTGGGATGGCTGCATGGGGGGTCTCAGAAAGCAAGGCTGCAAGTCACCTGGCTGGGGAGGGGCCAAGGCAGCAGCTTTTGATCCCAGATCAAGACAAATCCTTAAGACCTGGCTCTCAGACCTCCACTCTGACCCTCAGAGCCCTGCCCTTGGCCTAGACTGCTCATCTCTAATGACACCCTCCCATTATGCCCCTTTCTTATCCCTGTTCCCTCCCCAGCCTCCTGCCCCTCACTGTTCGGTGAAATTCCTTCCGGGACCTAGGAAGCCACTCCGCCAAGTGCTTATTAGAAACAGGAGAAAAATGGGGGAGGAAAATTAGGGAGAGAAGTCCCTGATTTCTGGATGCCCAAGCCAATTCTCTGAATACCCATTACACAGTACACGTGCGGGCTAAGCTTCAGTGCATCCTTCCGCATTAGAACAATGATAGACTCCAAGTATATATGTATGATAGGTCTTGGAACTGAACAACAGTGGGTCATGGTTTTTATATGAAAATGTATTCTAAGATCAAAACTATCAATGTAGTAACAAACAGTTGGTCATAAATTGAGAATGACCTTTCACCTGTGTAGTAGTATAATGCTGCAGGACAAAATTCTGACATCCCATTAAAAAACAGCAAGAAGCAATGAGGAAAACAGCCTGGTAACTACAATAATTTTTTTAATGCCAAGAGAAGCTACAAATATTGGAAAGACAATGTACTGCAGATTTTGACAAATACATGCAGAGTTTCTCATGCATGGGATTCACTTCCAGAGACATAACAGATCTGCTTCAAGATCACTCTTGGTGGTGTTTTCTTTGGTTATGTCAAAAAATTTAGACTTTTCTGCAATCATGTCAACACTATGAAACATAAAAATGTAAAATGAATATACATTGCTTTGTTTTTGTTACATAACAATACATCATCAGTGATGAAATTTTACAAAAATAAAGTGAATGAAAAGAAAATACAAATAAATATAATTCTAATATCCATTAGATATTAGACCTCTTCTAACATTTTAAAGGACATGTATAAAAATACCACACATATTTTAAAGAATCATGTTGCAATATGGTATGATAAAAATAAATATGAAAAAAATGTTTTTTCATTTAGATATAGCACATATATCTTTCCGTGTCATCTATGTTACAATAATTAAAGTGAATATATTTAGTATTTCATTTTATGATATATTTTATATGATATATTTTATGATATATTATATATGATAATCCTCCATTTTGGCATTTGGGTTATTGTTAAATTTTCATGACTTTTTATTCTCATAATTCAATTGTACTAAGGCATGTTTATTTCTTTTGGGTGAGATATTTAAATTGTTTTGAACAGGATATCAAAGATAGATATGTACTCCCATATTTATTGCAATATTATTCATAACAGTCAGGTGTGGGGAAAATGGAAGTTTGTATGGCCAGGATCCTCACCTGAATGTAAACCACTCAATGATGTAACTGACTGACTGCTAGGCTACTGCTTCCATACCCATAGGCAATGAGCTATTATTGACAGTCACTATATAAAGCACTCTGCCCAGTCCTCTGGGTGGAGGCCGAGACAGAGGTGGATTACACACCTGCAGACTGTTGGATGCAGACAAATTCTAGTGCTTGACCTACTGCCATGAGAATAAAGCCACATATAAACCCTTTCACTCCAAGAATATTCTGTTTTCATTTCTCAGTCTCACTGAATCCACAGTGAGCTTACCTGGGGCTGAAACCCTCAGGCAAGATACGGAAACAACCTCAACATCCATCCATGGATGAATAGAAAAAAATGTGATGCACATTCACAAAGGAATATGATGAAGCCATGAGAAATAAGGAAATCCTGCCATTCTCAACAATGTAGGTGGACATTGAGAATACTATGCTAAGTGAGAAAAGTCAGAGAAAGACAAACACTATATCATAATATTTGGGTATAGAATCTAAAAAATCCGAACTCATAAAAACAGTAAAATGGTGGTTACCAAGGAACATGGTGTAGGGGGATAGGACAGATGTTTAAGGGAACAAAATTGCAACAAGTAGTAAATAAATCCCAGGCTCTAATAAATATATAGTGAAAACAACATATTCTATTATAACCATCAGACTTTCTAAGAGACTGGAATTATTCCAACCATTAACAAGAAATAATTATGTAATGTGATAGAAGTGCTAGTTATTGCTACAATGGAAGTCATATAATATATAAATGTATCAAATTAACATGTTGAACACCTTAAATTTACACAATGTACTATGTCAAATGTATTTCAATTAAAAAAACACATATGTTATTGATGGGAAAAATTTTGAGCAAGAGAGGTTAGTTTCCTGTCTACTGATTTGACCATGTTGCCTGGACAATTTAGATGATAAGATTCCAGAACACCTGATTATTTCAGTCAATTGGCAGAAACAGCTGATCAATCCAGTGCATGATGTTATCTTTTTCCCCCTCTTAAATGGGAAGACATGTGAAATTCTTAGGATAGCTTACAATCTCATCCTGCCTGTTGTAAGACAGAAAGTGCTAACTGACAGAAGACACAGGTTGGCAGCAGATTTTCATTTCTTAGATGCCATATGACAAAGAATTCCTTGTATGAATTTTCTCCATGAAGTCTATAGCTTTCTGTTAATTTCTCAATTAAGTCCAGTTAGGGGCTAAATTAATTGACCCTTCTAATATCCCCAGTGATTAAATGGTATATACAATGTTAATAAAGGTAGAAAGCAATATAATAATGCCTATAGGAGATGAGCAATTAAAAATCTGGTGGATGGAATTAAAGATAAAATTGTATTTCAGGGTCTTTACGGAATCGTTCCTTAGTAAGAGTAAAGTAATGGACAGAACTACTAGCTGCTATTACTGCAGTTAAATCAGCATCCAAACAGGGTGAATTTTTTACTCTTCAATCATCTATGCCATTATTTTTGAGATAGATTTATATGTTTAAAAAGTGAATGGGAATTAAGACGAATGAAGTCAAGGAGATTATACTCCAAGACGGTTAGTGAATATTTATAGGTGATGAAAGACAGTTTTATATAGATCCCATCTGATGAGATGGGACTCTATACAAAGCACAGATCTGTTTATATTCACATTAAGGAAAAAAAAAAAGCAGGCTCAGCACCAGCTGTTAATTTGTGGCCATCATTATTTTCACATTAGCACCTGTTGAATTAGAGGTATTAACACCAGTTGATTTGCCTGGGCATCTATTCAGTGATGTGTTCTTAAACGTGAATGTGGTAGGGTAAAGAAGCCTATTAAGGGATGATAAAGGACCTCAGAACAACTTCAGGGTGAATGCTTTCAGAAGTTATGAGGACAACGAGCATCAGTTACCATGTTCTGACCTCTGTAAGCAGAGCTGTTCCTGGGTGTGAGTCCTGGGTGTGACTTCCCCAAAAGAGAAGTCATTTCACTTAAAAGGGCCTTTATTATGCTCTTGCATTTGAAGTGCAAACACTTCAGAGAACATAGCTTGGTTTTGTAGGCTTTGATCCAGAGTTTTGGGGGGTAGGGGTGGTGGGGGGCGTTGTTAGTTACTCAAATTTGCATTTAAGAATTTAGAAAAAATTCTGTCACTTGTGTTTCCACCGGCAACAAGTTTGTGATTTGAGAAGGTTATCTACAATGTTTGCAAAACAATAAAAATGGGAATAGCATCAGATACAGGTAACTGTTGAATGAAGAACATGGAAATGATAAGGCTCATGTCTTTTCTAATTCATTTCCCTCAAGTTCAGTTTCCTCATTAATAATGTTAATATGACACATTAGATCAAAATGCTTTTGGCCATCTCTGAATTAGGTATGTCTTGCCAATGGGCAAGTTCCCTATGGATTTGCTGAGATCTAGGAATGATAAAACATTCCTGGGGTAAAAGGGCTTATTACCCAGCATGTTCTCCTGGCGATAAGTCGAGCACTAGAATTATGTCTGCATCCCACAGTCTGCAGGCCTGGAATCCTTCGTCTCTGCAAGAGCTCTTTATATAGTGACTCAGTCAAGAATAGCTTATTGCCTAAGGTGTGGGAGCAGTAGCCTAGCAGCAGGCTAGAGCTACAGCATCAAGTGGTTTAGGGTCAGGTGAGGATCCTGGCCATAGGAACTTCCATTTTCCCCACATTCCTGATCCATGATTTTATTGATATCCAGCCATTCCCTTGAATTCCTCACTTGGGAAAATGTTACATGTGATATAAAGTATCATCGAACAGCAGGGAAAGATTCCATTATGATATTTTGGAGCACGTACATAACAAGTGCTTAAAAATTTGCTGAATGAATATAGAAATAAATCAATCCAATCTTTTTGAATTAATATATTTAGCTTTTGCCACTGCCTCTATCATTTTCTTCACCATCTCCATTCGAGAAGAAAATTAGGAGGAAAACCATTTTCTTTACACACTCCTTTCCCTCAGCCATCATGTTATATTTCACATTTCTCTAAGATCTCTATGGGTCTTTTCATCCTCAAGACACTAGTGAGGCAAGTAACAGCAGAAATAATTCTCCTATTGTACAGAGGAAGGACTGAGGCTCAGTGAGGGGTGTTTTCCTAAGGCCACTGAGCTAATAAATGATAGAGTGCAAGTGATACAAGGTTTTGCTGTCCCAGGGTTGGTGCGGTCTTTGATGAATGGGGCCTTCACTCTCGTTGCCAAGGCAAACAAGGGGTTACATGCAAGGAGCAGCTGTCTGTTCCTTACTGACCTGGGGGAGTAAGGAGAAGGAATCAGCTGCTCGGGCTGCTAGAACTCCCCAAGGACACAGCTCTCTGCTGGCTCTGCAATCAAGAACTTTGAACACCTGTGAAGCCCCACCTCACCCGAGAAGCCAGCACACCTGTCGGCCACTGTCTTTCCACTCTCAGATCCAGGCAGAAAACCAAAGCAGAGATCAGGTAAGAGTATCCTAGGACCACATGGGTGTGTGTCCCTTGTTTCTTCTTTCCTCATGGCATTACTGCCTTTCTTGCCTGAGACCTAACGGTCCCCTCCTCTGCCTCTCTGCGTCTTAAAGCTGAGGCTGTTAAAACCTGGACTACTTGCACTGCAATGAATGCTTGGAAACAGTCAGTCTGCCTTATGAGAACTCAACAAGTCATTTGATCTCATCCCACTGATGCTGGGCCTGGCGTGCAGGGGTCACCTCAATACATACGTATAGAATGAATGAACGTGGTCCAGAAGAAAAAAACAGGTTGCGGGTTGACACCTGATATTCAAAATATATTTTGTGTGCCTCCACTCTTGGTATTGGGAATGTGGTGATGAAGGGAACTGATCCATTCCCAGCCTTAAAGATTTTAGTAGGGAACACTGACAATTAAACAAGCGGTAGTCACGCGTGTAATGGTACGAGACACAAAGATGAAACACTTCTATGTCTTCTAGACTCTGTCTTCTAGAATCACAGAACATCCCAGAGCCCTCATGCCCAGCTAATACTGCATCTGGGCCTTTCTCTTCCAGGCCCAGTGTTAGCTAAGAAGTCACTGCATTTCCTTGCTCCTGCTCTAGCTAGCTTTCCCCTGTGGCCTTCCTGGGTGTGGGGCTCACTGGCCTCTGGCATAATTTCGGTCCTCTGCAGTGACACCAGCATCGGTGGGTGGCTCCACCAACTGTCTAGACCTGTCTGCAAATTGAAGCTGAAACTCTGGACTTGGAAAGCCAAGGAAGCTGCAGCAGGCCTTCCCTTTCAGACACCTACCAGTCCTCCGGCTGAAGACTGCCGGATTCGGGGCCTCCCTTCTATCTGCTGGAACAGGAGGTGGGAGAGAGACGGAGCGATCTACGGTCCAGTTCACATTGTCCCTAC